GGGGGGGGGAGGTTCACCATGGGGAGCAGTGAGTTTGCCGATGGCAGATTAGGGCTATGTGAGTTGCAAAGGGGAGAAATGAATTTTCGAGAAAGGGGCACAGATGCCTCCCAAGCGCCCCCCCCCCCAAAACCAGAAGCAATAATGCTCCGTACGGAGTATTTCCACACGCACACACAGGGGCTCTGAGCCAGAACCGCTCACAAGCCTCTTCCAAACTTTACATCTGATGGAAATTTAAAGTCTTGGGATTCTTCTCCAAAAATCAGGGAGGAAAATCACAGTCATGCCGGGCTTGATAACAATAATAATGAACATTAATAAACATTAGCATTAATTGTAACAGCAATAATTATTATTACAGATCCGACTACGAATACTGCAAACCTCCATTAAAAACGTAAGACAAATGTAGCCTTCGGAGGGAGTGTTTGGATATTTCGGTTTCCACTGGCTTAGCTTTTTTTTTATTTTTTTAATGTACACATTGAAAACAGGTATTGTTGTCTTTCTCTGCATTTAACCATATATAGTGTCGGAAAGATTTTTAAATCAGGGTTTGCAAACTCAGGGGAAAGAGAGAGATAAAACATCAGCTGAAGTGCCAAAATGATTTATGAGATGGTGGAAAATATTTCATAAAGATCTCTCGGAGATTCTTTACTTAACCAGTTAGAAAACAAAGGGGCTATTTTGTGACAGATAAGCAAAGAGGTGGGAAAGGAGGGACCAAGAAAGGAAGAGGAGAAACGAACAGTGTTTCATATGATGATAAACACATATGGAAACAAAAATTTAGCTCACAGCAAATTGCCCCGTTTTCACGTGTGAATTTATTTATCCCCAGGTGGGCGTTTCTCTTCTGCTTTCTTGTTAGGTCAAAGCCGCCTCTTTTACTTTTCGACCCGTTTCCGAAATACTTTATAAATCCTCTGCCTTAAAACAAACAAACGGGGAGGAGGGACACTCGGGATTATTTTATTTTCCTTATTTTGACACGCGCGCGCAAAACCAGAGAAACTTTGTAACCCCCGGATTTGTCATCTCCGAGTCCCAAATATGCCACTTCAAAGCGATACAATAAGGAGGGGGGTTTTTTTAAGTTAAACACCGAGAAAGCTTTGATGTGTATCAAATCCCAGCCGCTTTAGCTCGAGAGATCTCCTGGATCCTGAAGGCGGAAAGCACTTTCATCGGCGGCTGAGGGTGCAAAAAAAAAGAAAAAGAAAAAAGGCCGATGAAACTGACAAGCGCTGTGTATGCGTGGGGGAGAGAATGTGCTTAAATAGGGGAGTTGGAGGCGCCGCAAACAAAGCAGGGAATCAGGCTGTTTAAGCTCAGCGCATCCTCCTGTGTCCCCTAAATATTTAGAGCCCCGTCCCCTCTGCAGCCCTTATCTAGAGTTTGTCTTATCTGCTAGTTTCGTTTTTCTCTGTAGTTTTAATCCCAACTCTCCCCCCCCCCCCAGCGCCCTGGCATTCCCCCCTCCCCCTCTCCTCTGCCCGAGTGACAGAAGCACAGACCTCCTCGCCCGGGCTCCGTCTCCGCGCGCTGGCGAATCAGAGAGTGTTGGAATCTATTGCCTTTGTCTGACAAGTCATCCATCTCCCGGCAAAGGGGAGGGCGAGGAGGGGTGGGGGTGGGGGGTGGGGGGGAGAGATCTGGAGGGGGCTTTGCAGCTTTTAGAGAGACACACGCGGGGAGAGGAGGCTCCATTCTCCAGCCAAAGCTCCTCGCAAACACATCCCACCTTGCGAGAAAGTCTGCCAGGAGCGGGACCCTCTGCCTGGGGAGCAGGAGGAGGCGAGGGGACTCAGGGAGGGGGCTGCCGGTGCTCAGAGATCCCGGGGATTTCTACTCCACTTTGAACTTAAATGAACTAGCCCCAGACTTGGCGGAGGAAGAGGAAGGAAGCCGCATCATCCTCTGCCGCTGCTGCTTCACCACCGTCATCATCCTCACCTTGCTTCCGACGCGCTCTAGCCTCCAGCCCCTCACTGACCCGGCTGCCAGGGATGATCTGACCCGAGCGCTCCAGCCATGACATCCACCTGCCCCCCGGCCGCTGCCTCTCGCTGCCCGCTGGGACGCTGCTGACCAGAACCATCGGGCTCCGCTTGCTCTGCCCCAGCTCGAGCCAGCTCCCCGTCCACGGCCCCCGGAAAGTTCTCCGCTCCCCGGGCAGGGCCGAGCGCCCGCCCCCCCGCCTCCCCTCGCCCTGCTGGCTGTTTTTTTGTTTTTGTTTTCTCCCCTAAGTCTTGAAGTTGAGTTTTAGAGGCGACACGGCGGCTTCAGCCGACTTCTTCCCCTTCCTTTGCCTCCCCATGGATATGCACTGCAAGGCAGACCCCTTCTCGGCAATGCACCGTGAGTACCGGAGCCCAGCTCCTTCTGCTGCATCCCTCCATGCCTTCTTCCCCAACCCTTCTTCCTCACCTGACCCTCTTTCCAGGCCATCCTCCCAGCCGTCTGCCGCCTTCCCCAGCCAAGGTGGGCTCCGAGCCCCCTGCCTTGCTTTGCCACCACCGGCCACAGCTGCTCCCTAGCTCCTTCGGGGTAAGATCCCCATCAAAGGGGATCCGGGAGCCTGGGAAACCCCCAAACTTACTGGAGGGAATGAGTGTGTGTGTGAAAGGGAACAACAACAACAAAATCAGGTCTTGCTCCAAATCCACTTTGCAAATTGTGCCTCCGAGGGGGAGTAGTTGATTCCGACGCGTGTGTCCAATTGTATTTTTGATCGTTTATATTTTAATCTGCAACGTGGGTCAAAGCTTTATTTTTTAAATTTTAAATACATATATATGTGTGGAACCACAGTTCTCCCTGTAATTTTTTGTTCTTTAAACTGAAGAGGGGGTAAATGTCATTTTTAAATGACTGGGAAGGTGATTGTTTGTTTTAAGGATGAATTAGGGGAAGAAAGAGGACAATTATGTTGTTGGGAAATCTGGCATTTTCGAGGGTTATTAAGAAGTCACAGTCCTCCTTTTTTCTTTTTCTTTTAAATTTATTTATTTACAAGATCCCTGGGGTGCATTTTAAATACATTATTGACATACAAGAAAGTGGATTCCTGATATGTTTTCAGCCTAGAATCTCATTTCAATCGAAGGAGGGGGGTAAGGAAAAAACAACCCATGACAATTATTGTAATAATGAAATTACAATTCATTTGAGCTAACCGCAGGCAGGAAAAATAATTCAGGGGTTTAAAAAGACAGAAAGAAAAATAAAAATCTGAGCTAGAGACCATACTGAGTCAGGAAATGAATAATTAAGAACAATTTGTAACTTTCCACGGCGCAACTTTTCAAGACGCTGCCCTGGCAGCTGTATAAAAATAACCCAATATTTAAAGGATACACTATACAATATTTGGGTTTTAAAAAATGATTTGCAAGAAGAAAAAGAGCAGAAATATAAAGCCCACGAAGAGGGTTGGCTGCAGCTTTATTTCTCTTTCAAAATTGCTGCTTTCTGAGCGATTTTGTTAGGGAAAAATATTGTTTCCCAAGTATATTCACTGAAAATACTCCCAGCGTTTGGAAATATTTTGTTTGCACCCCGGCGGCTTACTCTTTAATTGATTGCAATACCTTTGCATTTAATTTAATTTGGAAAATATATTTAATCAATAGAAATATTTCACAACACAGCGGATGATTTAAAGAAAACCCAATGAGATTTGGGAAGGTTTTATTTTTGCTGCCGAACTTTGAAAAAAAGCATGATTCAGTTTGGGCCATTTATATAATATATAATACATATATTAACAGTCAGTTATAATACACGTAAGCGCCGGTTTCCTCTCGCGCACACATATGTATACAGACTACAGAATGTGTTCTGTTCAAAGGGACAGATGTATATATATATAGAGAGAGAGAGGGAAAAAAAGGTTTGAAAGGGACCGATCTAAATTAAAACAAGCCCAGGGGAAAAAACACTGGGTGCAATAATTTTAATTATTAATTTTTTAATCTTTTTTGCATCTGATGCCTTTTAATATTCTGTAATGCGAGTTATCAAAGGTGCCTTGAATTATTTATCAGCGAGGTGCTGAAGAAACTGCTGGCTTGTAACTTTAGAGGCAACATGTGCAAAAGGTGGTCTGGACAAATGAGGAAAAAACACACACACGCACCATTCAAGAAAGACCCAAATGATACCGAGGGGTGGGGAGAGGTAGAGGGCAGGAAGAAATGTCCACTACCACCACCCAATAATCGCAAGCATTTTTTTCACAATGGGGTTTTAAAAAATAACTAACCGGGTCAAAAAGAACGGTCTAAAGAAACCATCCTGGGATTATGCTCAAGGCAGTTTGGAGGGTGTTTCTTAGGTGTTGGCGGGGGGGGGGGGTTGTGAGAGATGAAAAAACTCTATTTGTGAAGAAGGACTTGGATCGATCGTAGGGCAATGAGAGTTCCCACTAAGTTCAGAGCCAATAAGTCAGTGTCAAAAGCAGGAGAGAAAAAAAATCAGCAAAAATATAAACAGATCATTTTTCAGCAAACTGCAAAACCCACTGAAGATCTCTTTCCAGGAGAAGCTGCAGCAGGTTAGCTCTGTGTGAAAGGAAGGCTCTAAACACAGTATACACACACTGCACAGTTCTATCGATACGGATACATAGGGATCATGGCAAATGAAGATATACCTTCTGTAAATATTTATGGGCACACATACATATCTACGAATGCGCATTTGTAGTATAGCTCTCGCGCACACACTTAGGTGCAAGCGTCACAAATACAGTTCATATTTTGCTAATATCCGAATGAAGATATTTCCTCATTCCTGGCAGGCGTTTCCTGCCTGACAACATTTAGCAGGTGCAAAGCCCATCCTTGCCGTATTCATCCGAATTATTACTGAAAAAAGGCAACCCAGGCGCCCCATGGAAGACAGAGCTGGGGTTTTGTCTGAAGGGGGTCCAATGGGGAATTTTTATTTCCCCTTGAACAAAATCCTTGTTTCAAAAAAAATCAAGGCGAGATTTTTTTTCTGGCGGATTTTTCCCCCCCGAAAAGATCGAAAGCTTATGAGAGAGAGAGCGAGAGCGAGAGAGAGAGTAGGTTTTGTTATATAAACTGTAATCGTTTGCGGGACACAAAGAAAGGTATCGTTCTTCTTTCTTTCTTTCTTTCTTTCTTTCTTTCTTTCTTTCTTTCTTTCTTTCTTTCTTCTTCTT